TGCTGCTGACATCCAACGACTACTTGCATTGCACGAGGAGAAGCATGGTTTCCTGGAATGCTGGGGAGCCTTGATTGTATTTACTGGGAGTGGAAAAATTGTCCTTTCACTTGGCAAGGCTCGTACACTCAAGGAGATTATGGTGTACCAATGATAGTGCTTGAAGTAATAGCCTCACAAGATTTGTGGACTTGACATGTCTTTTTTGGACTTGTTGGGTCACGAAATGATATTAATGTATTGCACCAGTCTCCATTATTTAAAGATGTCTTATACGGGGTAGCACCAGAGGTAAATTTTACACTGAATGAAACTCAATATAATAAAGGACATTATTTGACAAATGATATCTACCAGAATGAGCAACATTTGTCAAGAGTTTCCAGTGCCCAGATGATCAAAAAAGAAAAAAGTTCAAGCAACGACAAGAGGCTTGAAGAAAAGATGTTGAACATGCTTTTGGGGTGCTCCAGTCAAGATGGGTAATTATTCGTGGCTCAACTCGTTTTTGGTATAAAAAATATCTTAATGAAATAATGTTATCATTGATTATTTTACATAATATGATAGTTGAGGATGAGGGTGATGAGGCAACAAAATTGTCTAATGATGACACTGAGCCTCCAATCCAAGCACGACAAGGCTATCCAGGAAATTTTCGTCGATACTTACAAATAAGAGTGGAGATGCAAGATCGACAAGTCCATCATCAACTTAGGCACGACCTAGTTTAGTATATTTTGAATGAACCTAATTAACAAGAGTATAGTAATATAGTTAATCTATGTTTTATTTCATCGTACCTTCTACGTGCAATAATATGTTTTTTTAAAAAAAATTTTAAAAGTATCCCAATTTTTGTTAGTGTTTATTCTAATTTTTTTTTAAAAAAACTCGTTTCAGTTGTTTTTTTTCGATAATCCATCAAACTCGTTCTTATACCATAAAATTGATATTTTTGGAGGCCAAATATATTCAAGTTTTATTTTAATAGAAATAACATATTTTACTTCTATCTTCTTTGAGCAATGTTTGTTGGCGTTCGTTCTACTTAAAAAAAAAATCGTTTTTAATTTTTTTATTTTTAAAAAACACACCAACACGTTCTTATACCACAAAAATGAATTAATCTTTTTGAATGAAATTTAATATTGAAGCACGCCCTAAGTGGTCAATCATACAATGGATATAATTTCTGACTCGGCCAAACTCGTGCGTTGGCTCGAAACAACGAGATTAGACATGTTCTCGGGTCGAACCGGCCCGGGAACCGACCCGCGAACCGGTCTCGGCATGGACCGAACTGGCCTCCTAAGGGCCGGTTCGTTGAACCGGACCCATAGGGTCGCGGTTCGGTTAAGGTTCCCTATTTTTTTTTTTTTGTTCCG